TCAGGAACCAGTTGGCAAAAGAGGCCAACATCAATATGCACAACTTTCCTTCGTTTAGCAAGGTGGCCCTAGACCTGGAAGCAAAGATAGGGCATGGACAGGCACCCACTATGGAGGGGAGAAAGAAGACACTGCCTCCCAACTGGAACGCGAAGGGTCGCTTAATGTTTGTCGACAACGATGGTTCAACCATCGAGTTGGACGGCAACCTCCAGGAGGGAGTAGGTTCAGAGGCAGGCAGCTTAGACGCTTCAGAGGGTGGAGTGGTCGCTGCCATAGCACAAAAAGGTAAGGCGACCGGTCGACGCCGCGGAGGCTCCCGGTTTAGGAGTCAAGTTGACCCGAACGCTCCTCCATGGGAGAAAGCGGGTCTTACCGAGGACGTGTGGAGAGATCGCTACTCTCGGCAGACCTGTATTCGTTGTGGCCAATATGGCCATAGCCAGTTCAAGTGCCGCAACAAGAAGGTGACGGAAAAGATCCCGCCTACGATGGGGCAGGTACTAGGATCCTCTCAACCTGTTGGTAGCAACATAGCCAGTACTTCAGGCAGTGCTCCGGGAAACACGTTGGGCTAGTAGGAATTGTAGCTGTTCCTGCTAGGGTCGAGGTGGTGGAGACACCCTCACCATCTCGAGAGATGGCCCAAGCTACTGACTCCAATGTCGTCCTGCAAACACATTCAGACCCATCGAGCCTCTGTTCGATGAATGTGTTAGAGTCCTTGGAGGAGCTAGAGATGGAGTGGTCTAGATTAGACACGCTGGCTTCTTGGACGACCTTAGTAAAAGCTCCTAAGGGTGAGATGTTCGTCAGCGAGGTTGTTATTGGCGGCCGCAAGGCCGGGGCCTATTATGACACTTGCTCGACGCGGAACTTTATTAGTCGCGCGTGCGTTGAGAGACTGCGCTTACAGGGGCAAGTGCAGCGCCTGAGTCGACCTGTGGAGTCGACCTGTGCCAACAAACAGCGCATGGTAGTTAACGACTACCTCCAGGATGTAGAGTGTTGTTTCCCGTACGCGGGAGGGGACTTGAGGCATCGTGTCTCGTTCCTAGTGAGCGATGAACTCCCCATGGACATGTTGTTAGGTATGTACTACCTCTCTGTGGCACAGCCCCAGTTTGACTGGGACCGAAAAGTGGTCAAACACACTCTGCCAGGTGGAGGGACCGCCAAATTACATAAGTTCAAAGCTAGTAGTCTGATTGAGTCCTACGGGTGCATGTGTGCGGCCGAGTTCTACAATTATTATAAGCAAAATCAGGAGGAGGGTATGTACTTAGTTTATGTCTCTGCTGCAGGCGAGCCGGTGAAAATGCCGTCAGAGATAAAGGGAGTAGTTGCCAAGTATCCTGATCTATTTGAAGAGCCAACAGGGGTTGTTGATAGGGAGGTCGTCCACGCGATAGAGATTATCCCAGGGTCTAGTATTCCGAAGGGTAGGATCTATTGGATGTCTCCAGGCGAGCTTGATGAGCTTCGCAACCAACTCAAGGAACTCGTAGAGAAGGGTTGGATCCGGCCGAGTGTCTCTCCTTACGGATCTCCAGTACTATTCGTACCATGTGCATTGACTATAGGGGCCTCAATGCCATCACTGTGAAGAACAGAGAACCCCAACCGCGCATCGACGATCCGTTAGATAAAGTGCAAGGGTGCCGGTACTTCAGTAAGATAGATTTGAAGTCCGGGTACCATCAGATTGCAATCTGGCCCGAGGATCAACACAAAACCGCATTTCAGACCAGGTACGGTCTGTACGAGTTTGTGGTGATGCCTTTTGGCCTGTGCAATGCTCTTGGAACCTTTCAGCACGCTATGAATCGGATATTCCATGACTACTTGGATAAGTTTGTCATCGTGTACCTCGACGACATACTTATTTTTAGTAAGACTGTCGAGGAGCACGTTGCACATTTGGACAAAGTCCTCAGTCTCCTGCGACAGCACAAGTTCAAGATCAACGG